AATGACTACTAATATACATAGAATATGTTGAATTTAGCATTCAGAACATACACTTTGCAATTCCAAACTCACACTGATTTTATAGGAGTGAATTATGAGAAACTCTGAGGGGAAAATGGCAGATAAACTTGCAAAATATGTTTCGAGCTATATATTTTTTTGGGCTTTCTTCTATCAAATGTATTTTTTTTTTTATTTCCCATAATTTTTGGTAAAAAATTTGTTTTTAATTGCAGACCCCCCCCCAAATTTGTATAAATTTCAATGGTAGTTGAATCCAACCAGCCAATCAGCAAGCACAGTGCACAATGACATCATTTGAATACATTCCAATGTTATTCAATCAGCAAATAGAAATCTCTCATTTCAGTTTGAATTGTGAAATTTATAAATATTTAAAAAGATGAAAGGAATGCCTTTGTTGATGACAATGACAATGATGCTGGTTTGTACCTGGTGCCACCACATCTGTGGTAAATATAGCATGTCACCCTCTTCCATTTCTGCCACAATATATCGCACATTCATTACATTGGGGAATTTATGGAGATCCACAACATCAGCAGGAACAGGGGAGAATCCTACAAGAAATTTTTTTATATATATTAACTATCAATTTTATTTAATAACTGAAAGGCAAGACAATTGGTCATACACTGTATAAATATTGCAAAACTTACCCAATGTATTGGCATCATCTGCATAAAGGTCATGTGAGTAAATCGGAGACACTAGAATCGCTCTCTTTGATCCTCTGATTACACACAACAAATTCTCGTCCGTGTCTTCGTGGACGGAAGAGTTCGTTCCTCCACTACTCATCCAAAAATAAGTTACAAAAAACTTGCTGCTGATTTCTTCACATCTAAGGCACAGTGGCATTATTACGTCATGTCGCATTTCGGGAGGTAACTCGTCAACCAAGTATAAATTTGAGGTGGTGTACTTGTCAAGAAAGGTTCCTAATTTTTGTCGGGAGAGAAAAACTTCCTTGTCGTCATCTTTGGTCTCCATTTTGAACTTCATGTCGCCGTACGTTTGGCGCAGGTACGAGTCGGACCATAGTTGATAAGCCATCCAGTCTTTAGCGACACCTTTAAAGAGTATAGGTCTGTGCTTAGAGACGAAATGCTGGTAAAAGTCTTCCGATGCGATCATGTAAGGCACTTCTTCTACGTAACCGTCGGGTGGTCGATGAGCACCGAAAGGCTTCATGTGGCCTCTTGCGAACATTTCATCGCGGCTCAGATCTCCGACAGAGTCGACACTGCACTCCGACACGTAAGGGTTTCGTCCGCAGTGATCGTCTTCTGAGTGGCTGAAGACACAGACAAAATAAATAGCAAAAAGACACAGTTTACCAAAAGTCTCGTCGAGCGAAGCCATTTCGTAAACAACACATGCGACACTTCCGGGTTTGAGTTTTGATGGCTTGGGATATGCAAATAATCACTTTGTTGACCCATGACCTTCGGTGTTAGTATTGGTTTCATATTCGAAAAATAGATTCATTTTGTTTTTCGCGTTTGAAAGTGAAGATGATAGAAAACGTATTACTGTTCAAATTGTTTTCTTCAGTTAGTTTTGAAATATATTTTTTTTTCTGGAGGGTATTACTGTAATTTGTTCCGCTATAAAATTGTGTATTTTTCACAACAGCCTCAAAACACAGGTCATGACAGTTCGTCGGTTATTAAAGATTTTGTAATATGAAAGCTATTTTTTAAAATAAAAACATCCGAGTCTGTTTTGTTTTGGTCTCGAATATGATGATCGTGATGGTCATGATTCCACAATCCACCTTGTCTCGCTTTCGTCGTTGGTGACGTGCCTTTCTCCTCAAAACGAACCAGGTTACTTATAACACCGTGTTGATGGACGGTGCCTGGGTTAATACCAAACCAAGGCCAAACGAAAATGATAACCGGCCAGTGATTGAGGTTAATGCACAAACATACAAATAAATTTTACGTGAGCGACTCGTCAAAATTTATTTTTATGTTTAAACACGGTGTTGAGGGACGGTGGTTTAAACAACAAAAGCAGTAGTATTTGTTCAGGTTATTGACAAATCCTGGTCGCTTTCGTCTGGAAATTGTAACCTATTTGCCGGCCTATTTGCGTATGTTCGTGTGTTGTTTGTTTATGTTTGTTCGCTCGTGAACATTTACGCGGAACTGAAACATCCACGACGCACTAAGCACACTGTCGTTCTCAAACTCCCACTGTACATATATTCAATTTTTCGACAGTCCGTGATATTATAATAAAAATAAAGAACTCCGCACTGTTATTATTGTGTGTTATATATCATCACT